ACTTTAAAAGCCAAGTCAAGAAAAAAATGAGCTAAATTCTAAACTGTGCCTAATAGAAATTTAACAGGGTGCGCACAAAGCAGATTAGTTTTTTTTTTTGGAAAACTTTAAACGACGCTTTAAAGCCAAACGTGCGTAACAAATGCCAAACATTTAAAAACAACACATTAGAGAGAAAGAGAGAGAGAGAGAATGAGTGGGAGAGAGCTGAGTAAATAAGTGGACAGTGAACAAAGCAAAAGTTAGGGGCAAAAATCACTCATACGCACTATCTAAAGAAATAGGGGAAATTGGTAGGGGATAGGAGCTTAGAGCTTGGCACATACACACACACACACACACACAGACACACGCACGAGTTTATGTACGCTTCAATGCAGTTGTTTGGCATTTGCTTTGCGGGACTTGGTAGGTGTTAAACTTTGCTTCATTTTCGAACATTTTTGCTTTGCACTACTTTTTGTTAACGAGAACCATTTGCAGGATACGTCATATATTTGTCTTTCGTCTTTCCTTATTTGCGTCGCAAACACAATACGTGAGATCAAAGCATGCGCAAGTGTAACAAAACATATATATATACTTAGAAGTACGTTATATAAACTTGTGTAAAAAACGAAAGCATAAAATAAAAGTTTGACTTCGCTTTGTTATTTGTCTGTTTGTTGGGCCAAAGTCAATTTATGGTTTGCTACCCGCATAATTTCATTTTGTTTTGTTTGACTTGATATTCGTGGAGCAGCTCGCAGATAATGCGACAGCCTATAAAATGCTGCCAAATTTGTGCTTTTATGATTATGGTTTAGTTTGTTTTTAAGGTCATAAAATAAAGAGCATAATTAAAATTATTTCATGGCTCAAATTTAATGCTGGCCCATAAAGTTTTTATATCAATATGAAAAATTTTGCAAATATTTAGAATAATCCAAATTTTATATTACTTATAAACAACATATTCAAAGCAATCTCTCTTTCCTATACAAGTATATCAGGCTGTGAAGGCAACGTTTTAATATTTTCATAAGCCGCTCAAGTATTGCGCGCCACATTCGACGTATGCGCAATTATTTTTAAAGCACATTAATTTTACAGGGCGACAATGCAAGCGTCGCATTTAAATGCTCTTATAAAGGCCATAAATAAATTTCCCATTAATTCAATTGAAGCAGGACACACACGTGCACAACCACCCACAGCCAGTTTCTGGACACAGTCAGCCATTGGCTTTCGACTGCTCGGCGCCTGCATGTATGCAATTAAAAATTTGCACGTTGTTTTTCGTTCATTAAGTGGCCCCGGCGTGAGCTTCCGGCCACGGCTGTGCAGTGTGCCCTCTGCTGCTGTTTTGGTTTTTGGGACGGACTTCATCTTGCTGCTGGCATTAATACAAAAATAAATTCATTATTGCCTCCACTAGCCGAAAAGCAGGCTAGTCAACTCTTTTTCGACATTGGCTTTAATGGGCTTAGTTTCGCCAGCGCCTTTTTCATGGCTTATCTCTGAGGCTATTAGTTTTGATAAATGGTTTTATCGACAGTTTTTTGGTAAGCACTGTCAGCTTTTTACCTGCTCTATGTTCAACCTTTCCACCACCTTACAGTTTTGCTAGCTTAGCATGAACAAAAATGTAAAATGCATTTTTTAAATCTAAACTTATTCTAAGCCATATGGTACTTAAGTACTTAGTATTTAAAAATGAATATTAATAAGCCAAATAAAATATATAACGAGAAAGAAGGGCTATCTTCGGCACGCAGAATGAGGGAGTAATAAAAGGTTTCAAGACGAAAGCTTTGAAACTGAGCGACAAGTTCGCATAGAAACAAACGGACGGACAGACGGACAGGGCTATATTGACTCGCCTGTTGATATTGATCAAGAACATACTTTATGGGGTCGGAGATATCTCCTTCTATGCGTTACACATTTCAAGACAAAATTATGATACCCTATGCAAGGGTATAAAAAGAGTTTGTCCTAACAGACTAACTAAATGAGCGACTGATTGGTGAATAATGCATATATTCGATCAAAGTCCATCTAGCCATGTATGTATAAGCGCGACAATGTCAGAGACAATAAAAGCTCGGGACTTTAAATTTGTATAGAATATTTGTAAAGGCAGCATTCAGGGTATCTACTAGTCAGTCAACCGCGAGAAATGCACTCTTATTTTACGTTCTTATAACTCCGTACTATACTCGTCACATTAAATAAGATCCCTAGATCCACTATATTATAAAAATGCAACTTACGGATTGCTAAGCGTTGCTCTACCAGTCAGCCGGTCCAATCAGTCCATTGTCAATCAGTCTAGCCAAACATTTAAATATGAATTGATATATATTTGAAGTGCACTTTGTAACAGTTTCATATAGCTAAATGTAATAAGAAATTTCTTTTATGACTTTGTCATTTCATCAGTTGTAGATTATTCAGTTAACCCTTGAGGTCCCATTTGCTTTCTTTGTGGTGTCTCTTGATGATCTTCTTGCCAGGGTGTCTCACTACCTTCCACTTGTGCTTCCTCCTCTTCTTCTTGCCACCGCATGATGAGGATGCGGCTGTGGTGGTGGCGGTGGCGGTGGTGGTGGTATCAGTGGATGCGGCTGTTGTGGTGGTATCGGTTGATGCGGCCGCTGTGGTAGTGTCAGTGGATGTAGCCGCCGTCGTTGTTGTGTCAGTGGATGCTACTGTGGTTGAGTCCTGTCCATTGCTCATCGGCAAGAAGGAAAGGCATACAACCAAGAGGGCACAGTAAAGTGCAATTATTTTGAACTTCATCTTGCACAGATCAATTGGTGAATGATACTTTTACTCTAAATTGAATTGCTTTTATAGTAATTCGTGATTATTCGCATAGTGTACACATATGGTTCTGCAATTGTTTCGTTCTGTAAACATCGAACATTAAAACAGACTGTCTGTATTGTTAATTTTTGGTTATTCTGCTTGTCCTAAACTGTTGAGGTAACTTAAATATTTACTCAGTTTGAACCATTAGAGTTAAATAATATTTCTTTTATTAATATGGAACAAATATGTGCCCCATATCTCTCAATAATTATTAGTACAAATTATTAAGCTATCATTACCAACAAATTAAAAATTTTTGTTATGAATTATATTTTTCATCCATAAGTTAATGGGGTAATGCTGCGCCTACACTTCCCTGTTGCTTCCCTCACACCAAAAGACAATATCAGTCAAATAATTTTAGAGATCGAGTTTTTGGCTGTGAGAGTTGTAATTGGAAGTTTCTGTATCTTAATTTAATTTTCCCATATTTCCCCACTATCTAACATGTCTATTTATCAAAGCAATCTTTTTCCTACTTTCTAATAGGGACCTTTAAGTTGCTCTTGGGGACTTTAATCTCCCAGATTCAAACTTTCTGTTGCCCTCTTCGTCAAATGAATATATTGATGGTCCACATGAAATGTCCTTATGGCAGGTTAATCGGGTTCGCAATTCAATAAATAGATCTCTCGACCTGATCTGCGTATGATCTGCAATGATTCGTTCGACAGTGTTGTGCACAGTATTGATTCGCTTGCACTTCCTGAAGACCCTTTTCATCAAACTCTGGTTATGTTCATTGATCTACCAGCCCGAGTGCCTATCAAGGAATCGGAATTAGCTGATCGTGTTCGTTGTTTTCGTAAGGCTGATTTTCATAATATTAATTATCTTTTTCTGCAAGTCGATTGTTCCCAAATATTTTATTAAACTATTTTATTATAACTTGTATTCGCTCTTTGATATCGGCGTGCCTTTTGATCTCCCAGCGAGGTTTGATAGGCCTCCCTGGTTCTAATGAATGGTACTAATGAGATTTAAAAATGGGAAGTCGAAGTGTTATGAAAAGTTTAAGATATCGGGAAATCACTCTGATTTTATTCCCGTTTTGCAGTTGCCCGATCAAATTTTTCAAACTACCTACTCAAATCTCAAACTGCATCTTTTATCCTATTGTTAAGGAAAGTTCGCTTCTGAGAGACCTTAACACAATCAAGCCGGCTTTGTGCTCAGTTACTGCGCTGCAGCACTATGTAAACCTGTCTTAACAATTTTTGAATTGTCTGTAAGAGCTTCTTCTTTTCCAAACAGTTGGAAAGAATCATACATTGTCCCTCTAAATAAGAAAGGGAGTAAGTCCAATGCCAAAAACTATAGAGGTATTCCCAAATTATCCGCTATACCTTAAGCTTTTGAGAGAATCATAACATCTCAACAGCCACTAACCTTCTTGAGTTAAGTTCGCTAGTAATTGATCGTCTTTAGAAAAGATTGCAGACTGACGTCATCTATACTGATTTCAGTAAGGCTAATCACTCCTTACTGCTTCATACACTATGCCTTCTCAGCATCCCAGTCAATCTTTTGATCTTTTAAGTGAGCTTAAGCCGGGCTTAAAATAGTAACTCTCCAGCAGGTGTGGCCAACACCTAAAGCTGTTTCCAAAGTTGTGGGAGCCTTCTTTGTCTCTGTGTTTTATAGCGCTTCACTTCAAACAAACGATGTGAAAACGATTATTGAAAAGCCATTTCCAAGGTAAGAAAACTGTAAGAAAACTTAGTAGAAAACTGTTGTTACAAAATGTTTGTAATGCAAAAATATTTATGTATGTATACATATATAGACTGCAGACTCTGCCTGGAGGACGGCGACGCCAGATCATATTTTGGGAAACGGTCCAGCCCTGAGAAGGGTGAGACTTGCTCACTTAGGGCAGTACGGGCTCAGTATATCTGAATATTGGCAGAGTCCGGAAAGGATCTTAATAACGCATTTAAAAATGACAATATAATGCATTACTTCGTTTGAAACCACAAATTGCCTTAACAATTTACAAAGAACTACTTAGAGCTTAAAGAATATTGTTTCAACAAAATAATTAAATATATTTATTTCAAGTGCACTGAATAACAAATCTTAAGTCTATAGGTAAATTAAAATGTCCATTTTACAGGTTTCGGGATCAGGTTTCGATTGTTCATTTATCCAGATCTTCTTGATTTCTTTGAACCTTTGCGTCCACTCTTACCACTGCGTCCACTCTTTGCACTGTTACCACTGCTTCCACTGCTGCTACTACTCTTTTCAAAACTTCCTTTTTTGCCGCCTGTGCGGTGCCTCTTGATGATCTTCTTGCCAGGGCGTCTCACTACCTTCCACTTGTGCTTCCTCCTCTTCTTCTTGCCACCGCATGATGAGGATGAGGATGCGGCTGTGGTGGTGGCGGTGGCGGCGGTGGTGGTATCGGTGGATGCGGCTGTTGTGGTGGTATCGGTTGATGCGGCCGCTGTGGTAGTGTCAGTGGATGCAGCCGCCGTCGTTGTTGTGTCAGTGGATGCGACTGTGGTTGAGTCCTGTCCATTGCTCATCGGCAAAAAGGAAAGGCATATGACCAAGATGGCACAATTAAGTGCAATTATTCTGAACTTCATCTTGCACAGATCAGTTAGTGAATGATAGTTTTGATTCAAATGTAGGACTTTTTTATAGTAATTCTACATGACTCTCATGTATAATACAGCTGTATCCAATTTGAAATTTAAATTGGTTTTCTGTGTCAAGTCAATAAAAGAAGTAAAAATTGGAACACATTTTGTCATATTTATTTTCATATGGCCGCCAACCCTTAGACTTCTGCAAAAATGTGGAATAACAAACTATTTGCTCAAATGGTAAAATGATGCCTCAATATTTATGTGAATAAAGATGTCTTTCGATATAATTATTTTATAAGCAGAATAAACGGTAAGGGCTAGGAATCTCAAATGTTAAGACAAGCTTATTTTGGTCGAGAATATTCTAAAAAATTCTTCTTTAAATATTCTTTCTATTTTCAAACACGATAACAACGTATTTCTGTATTGTACTTGCACTGTTTGTATAACTTATATTTTCACCACTTGCAGGCTTAAGCTTATCTTAACATTTGAGATTCCAAGCCCTTATTGTTTATTCTGGGCAGAAATTAACAATATGACAACAAATAATATAATTTATCAAAAGCATCTTTATTCACATAAATACTTAGACAACCATTTGCCATTTGAGCAAATAGTTTGTTATTTGCCGCAATTTCACATTTTTGCAGAAGTCCAAGGGTTGGCGGCCATATGAAAATAAATATGACAAAATGTGTTCCAATTTTTACTCCTTTTATTGACTTGACACAGAAAACCAATTTAAATTTCAAATTGGATACAGCTGTATTATACATGAGAGTCATGTAGAATTACTATAAAAAAGTCCTACATTTGAATCAAAACTATCATTCACTAACTGATCTGTGCAAGATGAAGTTCAGAATAATTGCACTTAATTGTGCCATCTTGGTCATATGCCTTTCCTTTTTGCAGATGAGCAATGGACAGGACTCAACCACAGTCGCATCCACTGACACAACAACGACGGCGGCTGCATCCACTGACACTACCACAGCGGCCGCATCAACCGATACCACCACAACAGCCGCATCCACCGATACCACCACCGCCGCCACCGCCACCACCACAGCCGCATCCTCATCCTCATCATGCGGTGGCAAGAAGAAGAGGAGGAAGCACAAGTGGAAGGTAGTGAGACGCCCTGGCAAGAAGATCATCAAGAGGCACCGCACAGGCGGCAAAAAAGGAAGTTTTGGAAAGAGTAGTAGCAGCAGTGGAAGCAGTGGTAACAGTGCAAAGAGTGGACGCAGTGGTAAGAGTGGACGCAAAGGTTCAAAGAAATCAAGAAGATCTGGATAAATGAACAATCGAAACCTGATCCCGAAACCTGTAAAATGGACATTTTAATTTACCTATAGACTTAAGATTTGTTATTCAGTGCACTTGAAATAAATATATTTAATTATTTTGTTGAAACAATATTCTTTAAGCTCTAAGTAGTTCTTTGTAAATTGTTAAGGCAATTTGTGGTTTCAAACGAAGTAATGCATTATATTGTCATTTTTAAATGCGTTATTAAGATCCTTTCCGGACTCTGCCAATATTCAGATATACTGAGCCCGTACTGCCCTAAGTGAGCAAGTCTCACCCTTCTCAGGGCTGGACCGTTTCCCAAAATATGATCTGGCGTTGCCGTCCTCCAGGCAGAGTCTGCAGTCTATATATGTATACATACATAAATATTTTTGCATTACAAACATTTTGTAACAACAGTTTTCTACTAAGTTTTCTTACAGTTTTCTTACCTTGGAAATGGCTTTTCAATAATCGTTTTCACATCGTTAGTTTGAAGTGAAGCGCTACAAAACACAGAGACAAAGAAGGCTCCCACAACTTTGGAAACAGCTTTAGGTGTTGGCCACACCTGCTGGAGAGTTATTATTTTAAGCCCGGCATTAGCACACTGAAGTTTCGCGAGCACAAAGGCGTAAAGGAAATTTAAATGCAGATTCCCGAGTCAGTCTGTAGGATTAGTTAAGTTAATTTAGTTTCTCAATAAGTATGTTGTATGTTGGCTAGTCCTCAAAAGAATGTTCCTGCTTTTAAGATGGGCACTACCAAGGATATAAATTAAATTTAAATAATTTCAATTATTAATCTGAATTACATGTGAAACTCTCTTGTTCGAGCAGACCCTTGTTTATTTTTTTAAGGGTCACTTTCTGTGAGTTTAGGGTACATCAAATTGAGTTTCGCATAAAAACACATTATTTTCCTAGTTACTGAGTACTGGAATCAAATCAGCATCATTAAGAATATAAAAATTATACGCTGTGACTACGCTGCTTTTTTCCTTAGCCTCAAACTATGGGAAATATTTTCGTTATTTGCTTCGGTGCTTTTTGCCAAATCTTTATTTTATTTTTTTTATTTTCATGAAGAACAAGTTTTTCATTTCGTTATGTTTTCCGTTTTCGATGCGTTCATATATACAAACGGATAGACTGACAAACGGGCATGATAAAATCTACACGACTATTGATGCTGACCAAGAGTAAATTTATTAGAACAGTAGTTTATATTGTAGGACAAATTAGTGATCTAGATAATCTTATATCTATCAAATTGTGTTTTATAAATATTGAAAACGTGAAACTCCAAGTGAACCAACTGAGTAATCATAAAAGTTTCCAAACTATCCAAATATATACAACGAACTCTTTTAAAACATTTCGCTATGTCTACAAGTCCACATTCATGAGCATTAAAATCGAACATTTGAGACCAGCTGTATAAATATGCGAATAATGAAGAACTACTATAAAAGCAATTAAATTTGGAATAAGAGTATCATTCACCAATTGATCTGTGCAAGATGAAGTTCAAAATAATTGCACTTAACTGTGCCCTCTTGGTTGTATGCCTTTCCTTCTTGCCGATGAGCAATGGACAGGACTCAACCACAGTAGCATCCACTGACACAACAACGACGGCGGCTACATCCACTGACACTACCACAGCGGCCGCATCAACCGATACCACCACAACAGCCGCATCCACTGATACCACCACCACCGCCACCGCCACCACCACAGCCGCATCCTCATCATGCGGTGGCAAGAAGAAGAGGAGGAAGCACAAGTGGAAGGTAGTGAGACACCCTGGCAAGAAGATCATCAAAAGACACCGCAAAGAAAGCAAATGGGACCTCAAGGGTTAACTGAATAATCTGCAACTGATGAAATGACCAAGTTATAAACGGAATTTTTTATTACATTTAGCTATTAAAAATTGTTACAAAGTGCACTTTAAATAAATATCTATTCTGTTAAACTGACCGGATGACTAATAATTGATTGAATTTCAAGCAAGCCGTTTAGCTGTATTTTTACACAAAGAGCTTAAATTTAAAACGTGGCTTTAATTGGTTGCAAGTGCCTGAACAGGAGATGCTCTGAACATATACATGCTGAAAATTCATAGAACATGCTCGTGCGGTTTACGGTGTGGCTGCGCTTGTTCACTTTGCTCCATTCTATGGGAAGTCTGATAGTTGTGGAATTCAGAAGACATAAATATGGTGCCAAAAGCGAAAGGGAGATGAGGATTTTTGAATTCTGTGAGAAAAATGGGAACGCATCATAAATGTGAAATAATCCTTAGTTGTTCATACTAAACGTCAGTCCACCTACAACATTTTCTGTATCTCTTTATCTTTTTAAATCTTCTAGTTACGCTTAGAAAATATATCTACCTACATTAAGAAAATTGGAGGAATTTTGAAAAAAAAAAAAAATAAATAAATCCAAGTACCTTTTGAATCTTTCGAGATGATCAGATGAGCAAAAATATATATAAGGAAAATATATATGTATATACTTTATGGAGTCAGAGATGCTTTCTTCTTTCTGTTGCATGCATGTGTACAAAGTGAAGACGAACCAGTCTGACCCATTTCCATAGTACTAGCAATAAAAGCGTTGAACAAATTGGTTTCATATGGAAAGAATGTGACCAACAAGACGGACATTGCCGCTAACCAATATATTTTTCACTGTGTGAATGACACAACACCAAACGCTTTCCAAGGTTTCTTCCCTTCTTTGCTTATGTCTGTGCGAATTTATATACTAGCTGACATTTGTGCTTCAAATCATAGACAATTTTTCACCCATTGGCTGCCTGTGGAAAAATGTATTCTACCCGTACTATCCTTAACACCACGCTCAAGTTGTATTCTACATAGATATTTAAAAATTTGCTTGAAGTCTATTTAAAATTAGAATGGACGTTTTCAGCTCAGATTATTTCCGCGGTGGGAAATTTGCAGCTGGAAAATAAACAGGAATTTTCATAAAGATTCTTTAAGATAAAGAGTTGAAATCGGAACCGTCATCCACCAAATTATTGGCCTCCATTTCCAATTAAGAGAGCTGGAGAGAGATCATTAATGAGCCTGAGGGCGATCGCAATTAAATTAAAATAGTTTTATACAACGGGTTTCCGCAATTTTTTCATATTTACGGGCACCAAATCCTTTCCGATTATAATAATACTCGTTTGAAAAAACAAGCTTATCTTCCTACAAATAACACCCAAAAACTTTGTACTTCTGACTATGATTGTGAAGGAGTTATTGGATCTGTTAGGTACACAGATTAACACATGATTCATTATTTGCGCCGGACTAGGTATTGCTTGATACAATATATGGGTACACGAATAAGTTATAGCTAACAGGTCAAAAGTTAACGAATAGAAATTAAGTCTCATGATTTCAACTGCGTCAATATCAAAATGCGATGTCAATATTTCACAGACACCAACATTTTTGCCACATTTTGATTGCCGTGTCTCCAATTGAGGCGTCCAAACAATCACTAAGTGATGGTCTGTTCCAATTTGCGATGTTTGTGAACTAAGCCTCTATAATGAGCATTCAAATCGCACATTGGGAACCAACTGTGTAAACTAGGTGCACAATCACGAACTATTATAAAAGCAATTAAATTTGGGATAAAAGTATCATTCACCAACTGATCCGTGCAAGATGAAGTTCAGAATAATTGCACTTAACTGTGCCTTTCCTTCTTGCCGATGAGCAATGGACAGGACTCAACCACAGTAGCATCTACTGACACAACAACGACGGCGGCTACATCCACTGACACTACCACAGCGGCCGCATCCACTGATACCACCACCACAGCCGCATCCACCGATACCGATACCACCACCACCGCCACCGCCACCACCACAGCCGCATCCTCATCATGCGGTGGCAAGAAGAAGAGGAGGAAGCACAAGTGGAAGGTAGTGAGACACCCTGGCAAGAAGATCATCAAGAGACACCGCAAAGAAAGCAAATGGGACCTCAAGGGTTAACTGAAAAGTCAAAAACTGATGAAATGACCAACTCATAAACAGAATTTTTTATTACATTTAGCTATAAGAAATTGTTACAAAGTGCACTTTAAATAAATATCTTTGTACTTATACACATATAAATTGACTTGTTCCGAGTGATTGACTGATTGAAAAACCGATTAATTGGTGATCAACGCTAAGTTCAATCCATGAAGCTTAACTTCTACAGTAGGTATCTTACGTGATGTAACGATAAAACGGGAAATGGCAAGTGATGAAATACCCAACGAAATTCAGCATCAATCTAATTTTCAAGGACCTTCGAATACATTGATGACGGGTATCGCATTTTTCTACTAACAGTCTACTCATTTAAAGCGGTAAATGAATGCAACTGAGGAATGTAAAAATGTGACATGTAGAACCTCACAATTTTCCAAAATATTTTTTAAAAAATCTTTTGTGAAACTCGATGTAGTCCTTTAAACACTCGTTAACAATACAATAATAAGATTTTCCCGATTAGTTAAGCCCCAATTGGGCGTACCCTCATAATCTTAACACAACATCACTCAGGTTTCCCTGAAATTTTGACGGAATGACTGAATTACTGTATGACTAAATTACTGAACGGTAACCCACGAACAGTCCACATCGCAAGAGCTACAAAGCTGAAATTTTTACGGATGCTTCCTTTTTAGTCGTAAGTGAGCACCAGACGCAGTTATTGATTATTTGAACGAGTGGGGGAAAACGGTGGTCGTAGTTTTTAGAAAAAACATCAAAATCAACACAGACATAAAATTGTGCTCTGCATTCATGACGTCATGATCGTGTATAGATTAGGCGTCTGGACGTTGGATTCACAAAGGAACAGTCGCCCGTTCAATTAAAGCAGTAATTGTCAATTTGTATATTTGTTTAGATAGATTTGATATTAATGACAAAGAAAAAGCCAAACCCATAAATTAAAAAGTAGAAGAGCTCTAGTCGGAAGGGCCCGGCCAACAGATACCCTGAACCCATCGCCGCGCAACTTGTAGAAACATTGTAGCTTCCTTCTATATGCCATTTTCAGGGCATAAGTAAAGCAATTAAAAATTCAGTATAAATTCCTCAGAATTTGGTGGAAACGCCTTAGGGAGTTTTGCAAAAAGTGGAGAATTTCTAATCCATGTATACTTTACAAAAACCATAACCACAAATTAGATTCTAAGAGCTATGATGAAAACAATTAATTTCTATATTAATTATAATAATAATATTAATTGAATGGGGCAAGTTATCAACACACAAACTTAATCTGTGCGAGCAATAGGAGAAGCTACGTGTAAATTTCAACTTAGAGTCAATCAGATCGACGCGTACACTCATACTGACGAAGGCCTGTAAAACGGATTCGGATTGATGCTGATCAATATTAAAATTACTGGATCAATATTTTCTGTTATCAGACAAATGCCAGACAAAGATAATCTGTTGCCAAGTGAAAATGTGTTAGATTTATATTTAAAACATCAAACTCTTTCTGTTCCAATTGAGTAAACATCAAAGTTTCCAAGCAATTCATATATATAGAACAAAGTCTGTTAGAAGCTTCTATGTGTTTGTCAACAATCATGATCATTAAAATCGCACATTTAAAACCAGTTGTCTAAATATGCAAATAGTCAAGAACTACTATAAAAGCAATTAAATTTGGGATAAAAGTATCATTCACCAATTGATCTGTGCAAGATGAAGTTCAAAATAATTGCACTTAACTGTGCCCTCTTGGTTCTATGCCTTTCCTTCCTGCCGATGAGCAATGGACAGGACTCAACCACAGTAGCATCCACTGACACAACAACGACGGCGGCTACATCCACTGACACTACCACAGCGGCCGCATCAACCGATACCACCACAACAGCCGCATCCACCGATACCACCACCACCGCCACCGCCACCGCCACCACCACAGCCGCATCCTCATCATGCGGTGGCAAGAAGAAGAGGAGGAAGTGGAAGGTAGTGAGACACCCTGGCAAGAAGATCATCAAGAGACACCGCAAAGAAAGCAAATGGGACCTCAAGGGTTAACTGAATAATCTGAAACTGATCATATGATAAACTTGTACCAATGGATGTGAACTGAATTTTCTATTTAACTATTAAAAACTGTTACAAGGTGCACTTTAAATAAACAGATTATCAGACTAATTATAACGAGATACTATACATTTTTTTGAGCTATTGTTGCTATTGCTTGTTGCTTTTGTTCGCAGACAACAACCTCAATTTTAAGAGGAATCTAGTCAGCTGGATCAATTTTTATTAAGATGGCTCAAGTCATTTGGCACAGGATTATCCTGGAAACTACAAGTAAAAAAAGAACTAATTATTATAGAATAAGTTTAAGAAAAATTTTAGGCCTCGAAGATGGGTAACCAAAACCGGATCTAAATAATTGTTGCAAAAATTATCGTATCAAACTTTTTTGTTAACCATTCGATCAGTCTCATACACATTTTCGAAGATCTTAGTTCTAATATATTTGGATACCTTCTCGGTATAAATGGGAGTCACAGATTAGTTTTGAAGTTTTGCGTTCAAATTAATACACAAGGCTTTTTATTCATTGAAGGCGTTTATCACACATTTTCAAGAATTCAAGCTTTCTCTGTGGAAACTACGAATCAAAGATATTTTTATTGTAATTATATATGGCCGATTTTAGAAATGCTATCTTTAATTGTGGTATATTGGCAGAAGCCGGTTGAGATATTTGTTATAATTTATTTGATACGCTTCCCGAAAAAATTCAACTCTCTTGGACGACAACGAAAAGATTCTTATCACACTAACATAGGCGGAAACCTCTTCAACTTTTTGATCTTTATTCGATGAACTTTAAACATATTTTTAAATAGAAAGTGTTCAAGATTGTACGTGCGAAAACTTTGAAAAAATGTATATCTACTGATTTGTGTAAAAAACTTGCAACGGAAAAGGCCGGGTTACACACGCTATGTATATATACATATGTTTGAATATATATTATAGTGCTTACGACCTTTGAAAATGAGTTTGAAACTGAGTTTAATTAATTTTTCCAACACTTTTCGCGACTTTACAGATGAAATTTGTAACTCCCAGTCTGAGCGGCGTATAACTTGAGATACCTGACAAAGGAATTCAGCTTCGTGGATTGAACTCAGCGTTAATGTCCAATCAATTTGTCAATTAATCAGCTTATCAATCGGGACAAATAGTTTTATATATATAAATTTATATTTAAAGTGCACTTTGTGACAGTTACTTATATCTAAATCTAGTAGAAAATTCAGTTCACATCCATGTACAAGTTTGTCATTTCTTCAGTTGTAGATTATTCAGTTAACCCTTGAGGTCCCATTTGCTTTCTTTGCGGTGTCTCTTGATGATCTTCTTGCCAGGGTGTCTCACTACCTTCCACTTGTGCTTCCTCCTCTTCTTCTTGCCACCGCATGATGAGGATGCGGCTGTGGTGGTGGCGGTGGCGGTGGTGGTGGTATCGGTGGATGCGGCTGTGGTGGTGGTATCGGTTGATGCGGCCGCTGTGGTAGTGTCAGTGGATGCAGCCGCCGTCGTTGTTGTGTCAGTGGATGCTACTGTGGTTGAGTCCTGTCCATTGCTCATCGGCAGGAAGGAAAGGCATAGAACCAAGAGGGCACAGTTAAGTGCAATTATTTTGAACTTCATCTTGCACAGATCAATTGGTGAATGATACTTTTATTCCAAATTTAATTGCTTTTATAGTAGTTCTTGATTATCCATAATTCTTGATTATCCATGATTATAAGTTTACACAGTTGGCTGCCAATGTGCGATTTGAATGCTTATTGGTGAGGTTTTCTTCCCAAACATCGAAAATTGGACCAGACTATCACTTTATAATTGTTTGGACGCTTCAACTGGAGACATGGCAAACAAACCGTAAAAAGAGTGATGGTGGTGTTAAATATTGACATGTTGACTCAGTTGGAATCATTAGACTTACTATCCATTTTTAAAATGGCACAAATAATACTTGTGTGCCAATTCACCCATCAGCTGTTAATTATAAATTTTGATAAATCGATTCCTCTATTTTAAATATGTTATTAAAAAAAAATAACATTTGTTTTTCGGCATTACGTGAATCAGTTATTGATTTAGATCTATTAAGAATTATCTATATACTGAAATGGTTAAGCAAACATAGACACAAAGATATGCCGACCAAATTTTGCTGTGTATTCTTGCCGAGAATCAATTTAACTCATTTCAATGTTTTCATTTAAAACAGATAGCAAATAGTAAACAATCGCTTAACCAGAGCAAACACTTTCGCACGACAATAATTATTTCATGTTAGGCACACATAAATGCTTAATAAAGAGAAAAAGTTATGTTGGGATTTAAAGAAACTGTAACCCAAATTGCCTAAGATAGCTTGTTTTGACCAAACTGGCTGGGGCTTTGTAAGCTTGATAATAATTGAGAACGATATAGCCGTAGCCCCCTGTCCAAAATTTTAATATTAAACATATATTCACTACTAAATCTGTATGACATTTATTAATAGCTGAAATAAAATTTTCTTTTGAATAAATAATTAATTTTTAGTTAAATTGTAAATGCCGATATTGGTAGTAAAAAATAATTACGGTCTATTTTAAGTGAACTTAAAATTAGGTAGACTGTTAAAAAATATATTCCCCGATCAAGTCGATCAAATCGTGACATGAAACCCCGAATTACTTTCCTATGAACAATGAAAAAACTAGGTCAAATTAAGCCAACTGACGCCAATTGAGTTTGAGCTTAGACTTAGTTCACAATGCTGATAAGAATTCGTTTTAGATCGGCGACAAAAAGCTCTGTACGCTGGGCTCAAGCGGTATGCTTATAAGTATTCCAAAATGTATTCCAATTTAAAAAAACATACATACAGAGGATTTCTGCATATATTGGGCACAGATTCAGATCGTCAACGTGCGTGCGTGCCAATTGCAAAAAGTTGGACAGAAGTTAGCGCCAAAGCCAACTATGACAAATTGTCAAACAAACTGTAGCAATAAAACGAAAGCAACCAGGGTCAGGACGGTGTCAAAAGGGTAAACAGACTGGCAGAGCAATTGAACAAAATAGCGTTGGCAAGAAAACGGCTAGCAGGGACAAGTGAGGGGGGCGCCGCGTCGTGGTTAAATACAATTAAAACAGTTGCAAAGTGTCACAAAGAGTTGCAATGCGAAATGCAATGTGAAAAGCCAGCAAATAGAAAATAGCACGTACCATAACAGTCTGGTGATACATAAACCCAACCATGTGACCATATCAAATTAATAATAAAAAAAAGGAAGCCCAAAGTCGACTGCACACATCGGTGAGAATTTGCTGAAGAAAACAGGACATTTAAATGCAGACATGCGGACACGCACACAGTTTTGAATAGTTAAAACAAGCTGGAAAGCTGTAGTACATTACTGTGGTAACTGCGAGGATGCTAATGTCTTTTAGATAATCGCTGGCATGCGGTGCCCTTAGCCGCCAGCCGGCATATTAAACAAAATGGCGACGACGCATACACACACAAACACACCACACACACACACTCAACGGCAACATGAGCAGCAGCGTAGTCGAGTCGAACGCCTAAAGCTATGCTAACATTTTCATGCCATTTGATTTTACTTTGCTTCATTATCTCTTGCGCCTCTAACCACCCACCGCTTGGTAGCACATGCAATGCCATCGGCGGCCTGGCGACACATGTCCTTGCTGGCGGGAAGAAAGCAGGAGAGCATGAGACCAGGAGCGCAGGCAGCGCCCAGGCTATTAGGCTTATCGTTTTCATAATTTACTAAAAATAATAAGCAACAGGGATTTGTCTGCGTGTATTTGTTTTTGTAGCACTGCCAATGGCAACTAATGCTCAGATTATTGCCAAATGACCGGCAAGTCGAAGGTAGCAATAAGGTCATGCCGGTCACACAAGTTACAATGCCACAAATACTAAAAGCAATACATGCGGATAATGTATGTCACATCGCATATTGTGTTTAAGCATTCAATTGATAATTGATTTCCCTGAAAGTTGGTCCCCATTAAGTCATTGTAATCTGAGAGGGTTGTTTGTTTCTGTACTGAATCATAACAATAATAATAAATAAAATAATCTTATTTCCAGCTTGATACTTCGGACGTTATCTCAAGCTTGAGCAAAAAAGCAATGCACAATATTCGCCAAACTATAAAACCCTAAAGCGAAGGCCACGCAAAATTCAATTTTACTTGTCCTTTTTTTCAGCCTTTATTTAAATGTGGAGTCCAAATAAAACGCGTGGGCCCAAATATGGCTGCTTTCTGTTCAAAGTCCATGTTACGCTTTTAGGGCAACAAAATACAAAAGGTCAAGTGGGATTAATTAGCTTTGCTGGCTTCTCATAGGCATTGTTTCAGTAGCACATTTAAAACAGATTTCATTGTTGCCAAATGTTTTTTCCCGATGAACGCACGAAAGAGTTACAAAAAATGTTCGTGAAGCTCGTTTTTATACTATATAGGATAAAAAGGCCTTTGCAAATTGTCCATTTGTCAAGGTTCTTAATCTTTCTAAAGGCAGTACTTATCTTACTTATGTCAGAGTTGACCGAATCAATTGTGTATATCCTATAAGTACTACAGAAGCCGTTTTATGTCGACGAAACTTGGTAATAACAAACTCCACAATGCCCGTTTATATTAATTAATATAGTACTACTTAATATAGCTCCCAATATATCCGATATATGTCTACGTATTTATGTAAACACACCATTTATGCACAGAAATAGAATGAGAAAATGACACTATGAAATATTGAAAATAAATGGACAGCACGTTTAAAAATGCATTAAGCTTGTATTATTATCACGTTTTTGAAAATTTCAAAAACATATTTATTAATAGAACTCATAAGCATAGTTTTGCCTAGATATATAAATGATAACAATAAAAATATTACGCACATATGTCACTCCCTGTAGATAGTTAGACTTATTGGAGTACTACTCAGATTTTATTCAGTAAATACTTTACAATAATCAAGTGTAGCAATCAGAGCACTCAGAGCTGAAGCTGAGAGAGTGCCGGGTGTGACTATGGGTCAATAAAATATGCATGATAGAGCATCCAGTAAAATCCTCAACAAAGCTGACATGTAATATGTATTGTACGAGTATGTGGCTGTAAGCTGGATATTTTTGAGTGTGTGTAACATGAAATAAACACACTCTCGCAGTGAGTGCGAAACACACAATCACACCTACGCACACTTATTCAGGAGTACACGCAGTACGCATACAAAGCAGCCTGTTCAAATATTTATAAAGATAAAAATACATGCGAAAGGCGCATAAAATTACTTAAGTGTGAATTTGAGCTGAATGAAAATGCAATGTGTAGCGACCATTTAACAGGTAGCTAATTTCGCAACGGCCCCGACAAACGGGGCAGCTGTGATTTATTGTAAGCTCCTGTGCTCCCTGCCCGGTTGCTCCTGTGCAACTGGACTCCGGCGGGCGCACAATCAAAATTGTTGAAATGAGTTATGGCCTGCGCGATCGCTGGCTGCTTCTTTAGTTGGCCAGCTGAAAAGGAGCTTAAGTCTGGGTGCTCTGCATGCCGGTTTCATCTGGCAACTTAATGTCAACCATATACGCCTGGGTATTATGCAAATATTTGTGTTGGTGTTGGCGTGTGAGTGTGTGTGTGTGTGTGTGTGTGTTTGTATGGGCCATTTTTTACTGTCCCGTTTTAAACTGGCGACACTTTTGTTCGTTTCATTTGTTTTCGTCCTGCATGTGTTTGTTTTTGCCTTTAGTTTATTTGTATTTTTTTAATACTTCTCCTTTGCAGCGCTTGACAGTTATGAAGTGGTCTTAATGCCAATAAGTCCTGCTGCACTACGTGAAAATTGGTTTTGCACACATTTCCAGTATTTAAAGCATTTTTGATTATCCTGTGATTTAATTTTAGCCAGGCAATCCATATTTTTAAGCTCTTGCAAGCCAATTACATGCTGTCTTAGCTCTTTAAAATGGAATCTTCAAGTTAAATTGCATTATTGAGCACTTACTTATTGCCAGCTTAGCTTTGTAAATGAACTAAAAGCCGCATTCTATTACCGATTTGAATTAAATTTGATTTCCACTTGGCCGTACAGCAATTCCATCCCCGGTCTATGGCAGCAGCACACAACAAACCCTTGACCACATTTGCATAACCACACAAAAACCATATCATGCTCTATTTACATAACCAAACTGTGCTTTGCACTCCATTGAAACTTTTGCCGAGCAGCAGCATCAAGTATCCGTCATGTATACGAAAAACTAAAAATAAAATAGAATGGCCACAAAAAATGCAATGGAAAAACTAAAATGTTGCTAACGGCCATTAAGTGCAAATAGTTGGGAGCCATCATTGAGCACAGTTTCGAAAGTTGTTGCAAAATGCTTGAACATTTTGCAAAGGGGGTTTGCCCAAAATTCAAGTTGAGCGCTCGTATCGAAGAGCAATTACAAGACAGCGCGCTGACCAACAAAAGTTGTTGCACTTGCCAAACTTTACCAAAGAGATAGAAAATATGTGCAAAGAAATTAGTATAAATGGGCGAAACTATGCTGAAGCATACTGCCAGCATAATTCCCCTGCGTTTCACACCAGAGCTAAGCACA